AAAAAAAGAACGAGGGATTCCCGCCGTTCCACTCTTGGCTTGAGGTCGCTGTCGTGTTGGTTTCCACCTTTCTGACGTGTCGACACGGGAACGCCGACCGTGCCATGGCCACCACGCTGCTTGCTGCAGAGAAGCAGGAGTTGGCCGACAAGGCCGGTGGCGGCGTGGAGGTCCAAAAAGGCTAAGTCTTACGAATGTAGACCCTTGATTGATCAAACCCCCAATATGAAGAGGTCCTACAATTCAAACCGGGAGTACTTCATTCTTTAAACAGTTATATAATCAAGAGTCTGCATGAATCAGACAATGAAGGAATTGGAATGTGAAAAATGGACATCTCTGACCTTTGTTGAGCGCCACAAATTCAAGTGGTTTGGTTTTATCTACACACCAAACACGGAAAACGACCCTGCACCGTGCAATCCCATGGTTTCCAGCGACCGTGCCACTCGTGTCGGACCGTGAAACACACGAAACGGAGGCGAAAGAGAAGGAGGTCGACTTGGAAACCATCAAAGATGCGACGCCGGAGGCGAGTTGGGGGTCCAACTTCGCCCCTTTTTCCTCCTCACGCTGACACGTGTTGGGACCCCGCTGACACGTGACGTTTGCCATCGCCTGCGCGCGACCCGGGGGGAATAGATGAAACCAAGCTTTGTTGCAGTTTTTGCCAGGAACCTGATCGGGGGGTGGAGCATGAGACCCCCGGTGCCAGGAGCGGGAGCAGAAGTGCGAGCTTTGGCTGGAGAAGTATGCACCTGACGGGCCATACATCCAAGAGACGACAGAGACCGAGAAGGCCATCAAAGCAGAGCATCCTGAGCAGCCGGGGCTGCACCTGGCTGGATTGGTAAATGGGATTGGTGAGATATGGTGAGATGTTGCCTCGGAGGTCAAGAGCAAAAGACTAGGTGTGGTCCCCCAGGTCACACAGGTCGCCCAGGTCCCCCGAAGCATCAACAACTAGGACCATCCGGACCATCCGGACCATCACCTTCGCTGTGTGGTAGGTGGGGTTGCATGAAGGGTCTGACCAATTGAACATGGTAGGTGGGGCACAAGAGAGAACCCTCCTAAACCTCCCAGACCTGGCACTGTAGATGAATATCCATTCATGCTCAAGTGTGAGAAATTTAGAACTGTTGGCAGGTTTCCATCGTTTTTTGCAATCCCTGGAATTTCACGAGGATTTGACAAAGAGGACCCGATTTATCACCCCAAAATCCCTCTCTGTAGAGCTGGCGGTGTGTGGCTGGGCTCAGTGTACTCCTAGTATGCTTGGGACTTGGGACCGTGTTTCTCCAACTTGGCGACCTGGGTGAAGAGCTCTCTCCGTTCGGCATGGCATGAAGAGCCTCTTGTCAGTTCCAACTGCTGTAGATGCCGGGCGCCCTGTCATTGTCCAGGTACGACTTGGAGGGCGCCCTGAAGAAACATGCAGACTTTGCTGCTTACTTCTTGGACCTGACCGAGTTCATGCAGGAACAGCTGGAGAAGGAGGCACGTATGCGGCGCTATTTCTGAATGCACAGCGGAAGGGTGGTGGTGATTCTGGCTAAAAAAGGGGTGATGATGGAGTATATACTATAAGTTTGTTTTGGGGATTGGGGAATGTGCGGTTGGTTCTTTTAAATGATGTTTGAGAAGGGTTTCCGAGGAGAATCACTCAAGGATCCCAATTCCATTCGAGAACCAAGTCGTTGCTGGCGATTGTTTGGCATCGCAGGTGGAGCTGGACGAGTTGTTCAAACGGTTTCATGCGCTGGATGGTGATCCAGAGGAGTTGAAGGCGGGACGGAGTTTGGGTTTGAGGAGGATCTGGCTATTAATTATAGAAGCTCATGTATCTGGAGCTCAAATGATTCCATCAACAGTAGGGCTCAGTAGGGTTAATAGGAAACGGACAATGTAGAGGAGTCCTTTGGTGAAACAACCATATACTGAGAACCACGCAATTTCTGGGATGAGCATCCCGTGGCCGTCGATGTTTTGTGTCGTTCCTGCATGTTTCGTGGCTCTGTTGGGACGCCGGTGTTGGTACCCCGCTCCATAGCGCGGTTCTACCACCGTTGATGGATCCGCTGCCTTTTCGACCAAAACGACTGAAGGGATCTTCGGGCCCTTCCAGCAGCTGACAGGTTGGTTGTGACCAGCTGTCGAGTCAAAGCAGATTGGACCACATGCGTCCTCTCATGTCCTCTCCTTTTGGAGCCCAGGGAGAAGGGGATGGCCAGGTGGTGATGCCGTCTCGCCCCGGATCCCAAGCAAGAAACACATAGTAGCGACCCCAAGCAAAGAAAGAACACGGTAGACCCTCTCACCTCTTAACGTTTTCTTCGGCTCGTCCTTTCTATTTGGAGACATTTCTTGCATGTTTCGTGTTCTACATTACATTGAGACTTTGGAAGTCATAAACAAAGCACGCAGGCCTGTACAATGCGTCCCGCACGACAGGCGAAGAAGCAGAAGTGGTCGGACAAACGCGCAGAGAAGCTGGCGAAGCTTGCAGCCCTGCGTGGCTGAGTGAGAGTGGCGTTTCCCGGCGGCCTCCGGTGAATGCGCCGAACCGTGTCAGAATCCGATCTTCCTCACGGTGGTGTGAAGCAGGTGAAAGAGGCCACTCCAATCAGCCAACCATGGAGATGTGGGAGAGAAATGCTTACTTTCCAAACAACTCCGGTTCAGAACAGCTTGGGAAGAGACACTCTGGGGGCAGACGTATGGAGTCAATCAACCTGTCTGGGGCTTTCCAAAACAGGTCTCCACAAAATGATAGCGATGGAAGACCAACTACTCTACCTGTCAGATGTCAGAAAACTTTGGAGCATGGCGCAGGTGATATATAGAAGACATGCAACTTGGAGTTGGCTTCACGCATCCTGAACGTTGGGCGCTTTGTGCTTGGGTACCACTGTAACATGTACTGTCCAGCCTGGCCCTTGCCTCTGAGTGTCAAACACTCGAGTGCCACAGATTTGTTTCAAGGAGAAAAGGAGATTGCGGGGTACGGTGTTGGCCTCGAAATTTCGCGTTTGGGAAAGGCCTCAAACGACGAGGGCAGGAATGGATTCCTGAACAGGCCTTTCTTGGGAAAAGGAACATCTCAACCGCCCAAACCTCAGGGATATTCAAGAAAGTGAACCTTGGGAAGGCTGTGAAGGCTCTATTTGGATCAACATGGGCAGCAGAGGTTCAAATTGAAGTTTTGCTTCGGACACATGATATATATATATATATCTACTGTATGTGTATATATATATATTTATATTTATATTACACACACACACTAGAACCTGAATGGCCTCTATTTTGGACCACCAAACCACCCCAAAAGATGCTCGAACCTTTTCATGTCTGGGGTTCTCATATCTAGTATCATATCTTTGTTCTCCTTTGATTGACTTAACTTGAGCGCAGGCCTTGTCCCTTGGAATGCCCAAAGCACTGGGCTGTGCCAGCTGCCCCCCGGTGGCGCTCGGGAAACGGCTGGGAGCGTGTGTTTTTCTTTTTTTGGCGGTTTGGACCTGTGCGGTTGGGGAGAAAACCGGGTAAAATTGAATTGGAAAAGACATTCTCTTTTTTGATCGTGCTCGTCTTCTTGAATTGGTCGGAAGAATTTCCAATATTCTTCATTCATATTAATTCTGAATATTATGTGGGTTGCAATAGCCTCTGCACAGGCTTGGTCTAGGACATTCCGTCACGTTCCGAACCTCCACTTGGAACCGCATCGTCTTCCGCTGTTGACCTACTTGAAGACCACTTGGTTGGTTGATTAATAGAAGACCACTTGGTTAACAGAGGGGAGACCCCCCGGCCGTGTACAACCAATCCCTACAGATCAGTTTGACCTCATGAAAGACGACTGGAGTCCGACTGGAGTTGGTCATACAACGCCGTCCTTCTTCGGTCTAGTGGCGCCTTCCAAGGCACCGGCCGCGAATATTGTGTGGGCGCAGAGGCCTTGAAGATGTGGACGAAGATCAACGAGGCCGGTGTGGACGAGCGAGTCAGTCTTTGGCAGACGCTCGATGCGGAGGATTCTCCTGGAAACGAGCTCTGTTGAACCTGTTGAAGTCGATTTGATCGACTTCGCAGGTGTTGATCACCATTCGAGGCTCCCCACGGAGTTTTGCCGGATTTCAGTCTAGAGTCTAGACTGAGCGATGTTTTGTTCCGTGACGGAGAGGTGGGATCCGCGCCGCTGGCGCATCGTGTGTATTTCAATGGAGACTCTTAGAATTCATCAACTTGACCATTTGAATTGGACATGCTCTTCATCTGGGGGGGTTTATTGATCGAAGAGTCTACCGGGTCGACGGAGGTCGGACCTGCCATTGCCGGGGTCAGGTCGGTCTAGCCCGGTCGGGTCGAACGAGTGGGTGACCGGTCGAGTGGAGACGAAGGAGTTGGATCAAGACGAGTTCGGGTGGTACCAAGACTTGGGTTGAACTCGGGTGATCTCAGACGTTCTTGGCTCGATCTTGCCGGCGAACTCGTTTTCTAGGCTGCCGTGGAGGTGCTGCCCGCTTGTGTGGGCGTGGCAGAAGGCTGCGGAAGGAAGACTTGCAAGGTGGATGCGGACCAGCGCCTGTGACGGAATTTTCACAGAAGTCCGGCTAGGTGGAGAGAAGGGTTACAGGGAGACTAGAAGTACAGGTCAGTGACAGTGACCTGAAACAAGTCGGAGCTGAGTCGTTGGTGGTGCAATTTTTGGGGATTCTGAAGGAAGGTCAGCAGGAATTTGTGCTCTTCAGAATTGAATCTTTCGATATCCATCTTGACGGTCCGCCTCGGTGCTCTTGAAGAGGCTGGGACACAAGAGTCCGCGGTGGGCCGCGAGCCGCCGTGCTTTTGACATGTGCTACGTAGTACACAAGTGGTTGTAGCTCAAATAGGGAGAGCTCCCAGGCAACGACCCTCCTTACAGGTTCGGGACATTTTCCAGTCGAGTCGACCCTTTCCTGGACCCTCAAGGGGTGGTAGATGTGGACACCGCTTGACCTCCAAGGGGCTATTTAATGGACACCCTTTCCGTGGTGCGGAGTTGGTTGTCAGCATTAAAATGCCTAATCAGATGGTGTTTATGTTTCTTTTTTTCCAGGTTCTTTGTGGAGTACGTGGAGAATGGCGAGATCATCCACGACGGCCTGTTGAAGGGTTTGGGTGACACCGGTGGGGGCGTCCTCGCCTTGATTTTGCTCGGGGAGCCCAGTTGAGGTGCCGGGACAAAGAACAATGGGACACAAAGACGCTACTAGGGGCTCCTGGCATCGCTACTAGGGGCTCCTGGCCTTACTACTATATATGTAACAATAAAGCTATCATTTTTCTCGACAAAGAAACATCACAAAAAGCTCTGGATCTTGTCCTCTAATCTCATTCCCCCAACAAGAACTGATGGACGGAAAACCAGGAGTTCCATGGAGTGCCCATATATGCCCATATATATATGAATTTTATGTTGTTTTATTAGTATCTTTTCCCACCCTTCAAAACAATCTCGCCACCGAACTTTGGAAGTCCCGCGCACGTGGTGGATTTCTCACTTGCTGGATTGTGGATGTTTTTTCTCGACCTCACCGCGCGAGACACCAAACGACCTCACCCGTGTGCTCCGTTGAAAATCACCACGTCCTCCGCCTTGGGTCGCAAGAGTTGACGAAATCACCGACCGAGAGGACGCGACTGATCAGGTCACTTTTGGTGGTCTGCTTCTCCTTGTTTTGTGCCTTGGACTTGCTACCTTCATGACGACCTTCCCATGGACTGGCGTGTGTGAGTGGCCTGACAACCAGTGGTGAAGTCCGGTGAAAATGGCCACCGGACCTGACCCAAGGTATTCACTTGATGAGAGCCTCATTTTATTCATTTGATCACCTGAAGCGCTGACCTCTTTGCGGTCGTTTGGCTTTTGTCCAAGGCATGGTGAAGCTGCTGCATAGTTTGATCCTGGGCAAGGCCAAGGCCATCATCCTCCGATACCTGGCTGGGTGGGGAACGTCGATGGTGACGGCCGGTTTTGTGGCTGGAGATGGATCGAAGCATGACACAACGAAAGCCGAACGAAGCCAACACATATAAGATCATATAAGCATGTCCGTTTGGGGAACAGCAAACTTTTAAGCTGAGAAAAGTCAGAGTGAGTCTTGAAGTCTCTGAGACTTCCAAGGTGTGCTGAGGCTTTTTTCTTGATCAGCTAATCAGCTAATCTTCAGGTCATTCTGGATTCCGTTTGCAGCTTTGCTTTTAACTCAGTGACGAAAAAACATGAGGCAATGTCGGTTAGTTTAGCTTTAAGCTTTCAGCTTTGAGGTCATGTCGGTTGCCGAATTGTTTCGACGCCCTAACTTTAGGAGCAACCAACATGAACGACTATCTGGCCATGGCGGTCGGTGGTGTTTTGACCTTCATCGTTCCTTGGACGGTCCTGCTGAGCTGCAGTCTGTTGGAGTGCTAAGCCCCCTTTGAAGTGGTCTTCGCCACAAGAACACGGACCCAACGGAGCCGTTCCATCGTTGGGAGACTTACCATTCGGTTGGGGAATAAACCCACAGCCAGCTGAGAGTAGATAGCACACTTCAGAGACAAAAAAGGGACGACTTTGGTCCAGCTAGCCTTTGAACTCTTGATCTTGCCGTTTCTGATGTGTTCAATCTAGCAGAGAAGCTGAGGAAAGATGCCTAGTAGGGGAATGTCGCTTCGCAACCCCTCTCACGTTTTTAACGTATGCTTACCACTTGCAGCATCCGGACAATTGGTGGTCTTCTGACCCGATAGTTGACCATTGAGGGGAATCCTGTGGGCTCAGACATTGGGCGGTTTGGATTTACTGGACTGCCCAAAGTCTGACGAATCCTCATGGACCAACCGAAGAATGCCGAAGAACCAGCTGTGATTCTCTTTCTCTCAGGGAAGTGTGGGGAACCTGGCTGGTTTAGCCAAGCTGCGGTGTCATCCAGCCAGGGCTGGTGCGTTGACCGCATCCAGCCAGCAGGGCTGGTGCGGTCATTCTCCGTTGTCTCCTGTTTTCTTCATGGTGAGCGACGCGGCTTCTTTCATCAGACAGAGTGACTTCGCGTCCCAGATCCTCGCGGGTTTTTCGGGGGTGTCTTTCAAGTTCGGGAGACCGATCGCCCCTTCCTGGGTCGACGGGTCCATCTTCCCGAACGGTCGGAACACCGGGTGTCGGTCTCCTCTCGTCGCGGCCACCAGCGGCGAAGGTTCAAAGCTCCTCCGTGGTGACCTCTGCGTTGACCCCCTTGTGCGGCTTGGGCGTGCTTCCGGCGCCCCAGCCGCGGGAGAAGTGGAAAAAGCCAAGCAGGGAGGGTTTGTTTGTTTTTTGTTTTTTATTTTTCAGAGGCTTTGATCGAGCACTGAAGCAACAAGCACCAGAGCAAAGTAGGGAAACTAGCAGTAACAGCAGCTGCACGATTGTCAGATGATCCCCAGGATCGCGCGTCAGGAGAACAGATTCTGGTGTTTTCGCAGAAATCATTTGGAAGGGCAGAACACCTCCGAAAGAGAGAGAGAGAGAGAGTGTGAGAGTGTGTGTGCCAGCACCACGCAACTGGTGGCTATAGGATGCAATGTTATTGGAAGGGCAATACCTAGTCATGGATGTCTATAAACCACCCGAACCCCTTGGATGTATACGTGACGTGTTTTGTCGCATTTTCATGGGATGCAGCTGGTTCTATGCAGCTGGTGAAACCTGGATCCACCCATACCTCTCACGTGGAAAAAAGACGCAACATCTCCAATGCAGGGAGCGACATGGATTGTACCGATGTTGTTTGAGAAGTAAAAGGCATATCATCAAGTGTTTTTACATCATCGACAGTTCAACTTTCAATCTCTTTCAATCAATATGAACTGAATGAACTGAATCAACATGATCTTACTTCAAGCAGTATAAACATGTTCGTTTTCATGCTGCTGGACTTGACTCTTGCGTTAATTCAGATGTCCACGCGGCTCGTCCTGCCAAAGAATATTCAGCTCCAGCTCGACCTCGAAGGGAACTCCCTCTGTCCTTTCGTCTCTTTGTGGGTTCCTTCTTCTTGGGGTGATCGAATTCCTTTTTCTTTCGACCTCACTCGTGCCATTGGTGCTGAGTTTTACATGAGCGGCTGGCTCCTGCACCGTTCTTAGAAGAGCAAGAGAGGATGGAACATGGACATCTATCGTCATGGGTCTCAGACCGGTCAGACCGGGGTCGCCGAGGTGCACAAGATGTTGCCCATGACCTTGGGTGCCAACATCGGCACCACCTTCACTGCGCTCCTCGCTGCTTTGGGAGTCTTAGCGCCTGAGACCCTGCAGATCGCCCTTTGCGCCTTGGTGGGGTGGAAGGACGGTGCGGATCGCGTGGTGAGCGGACGAGAGATACACTAGTGGATAGTAGCTGCTACTACTAGTAGCTACTCTCCACTGCACGACTTGAAAAGGCCATTTGGGCCCCTGCGTCCATGGTTGAGTATCTTTGGAATGTTTGACCTCGGGTTGCTTGCCAGAACGTCCCTTCGTTTCGGAAGACCGGTTTTCAACCATGGACCTTTATGGACAACCGGATCAGAACGTCCTGCTTTCGGTCGGATCAGAACGTCCTGCTAGATCGGGCCGACCGCGGCGACTCCGTGGGAGCTTCCCAGGCCATATGATCTTCAACATCATGGGCATCCTCGTGTGGTTCCCCGTGCCCTTCATGCGGAGAGTCGTCGTGAATGCGGCCTGCATGCTAGGCCGGGGTGCACCGCGAACAGGGGGCTGGGCATGTTCTCAGATTGTGCCACCAATGGGTCTAGTCCAGTGCCTTTTTAGATCGAGTGCCAAAGTACTGCTTTCCTCTCCACCTATGAAAAAACATGGCCGGACACGGCCGGTAACTTTTAATAGTGATATGTTTTTTAATAGATACTCGGGACTACGCGAATGGTTTTTTTGTTGGTCACGAAAGCTAGCACCAGCTAGCTGGAGTTGTCCTTGCTTTAGCAAGTGAGGGGCTGGAATCCTCGGGATCACCGCATCACGTGAAAACTTCATATGTAGGGGGGGGGCCCCCCCCTCCCCCCCTGTGTTTGGTAGGGTCCTAGGTCCCCGAGGCGTGTCTACGCTATACGTGTGTAGCACCTGTTCTCTTGTATAGATTAGTTCGTAGCTCTTCAGTCCGCTTTCGACCTAATTCATTTGGCTCAAGACTTAGTAGCCCAATACCTGCATCCGCAGCCATAGAAAAGGTGTGCATCGCTGCCGCTCGCACACCGATCGCATTCGTGTGACCTCACTTGGTGTTTCGATCAGGTCCGGGGGAACTTACCCCTCAAAGTGGTAGCGGAGCTTGTGTCTCCTGCTTCGCAACGGTCGATTTTGCCTTTGTGCCGAATCGTCCGATATTCCGGACAGGGGACAACCAAGTAGGTCACTTGTCTGAAAACAAATAGACCATGGTCCAGATCTTTAACATAGATACGGACGAAGAGCATGACGACAGCCTGTCGGAAGCAACTGATCCAGAAGAAGCTTTCGCCGCACAAGGCACGCGTCTTCGCCATCAACAAGCAAGGTCCTCGAGTTCGACATACCGGACGTACGAGGCACAGCCATCAACAGGTGTCAAGATGACGCCAAAAATTCCTCCGTCATTCGATGGACAGTCATCCTGGTTCGAGTTTGATGATGACTGGGTGAACATCACCACATTAAGCGCCGAAAAATTAGGCCCATCATTGAAGAACGCTTTAACCGGAAACGCCGAATACTACAAAAAAATGCTCGACAATGAACAGCTTCGTCATGAAAGAAACGGTATTACGTATGTCAAGGAGACGTTGCGCCCATACTTTGTCAAGGGAGCAAATCATGTTTTTCTTTGGCGTTTCATGCAGCTCTTCAGGACCTGGCGCGGAAACGGGGAATTTGTCAGCTGGATCGTTCGTTTTGAAGTTGCTAGTAAGAAAGTCATGGAAGCCTTCATGGGCTTGTTAGATCTTTCGACTGTTCCACAGCCTGATGATTTTCAACTTTACTGATATCCTCTCGCAACAGCAGTACATGCTACTCCAAGGACTTCAAGATCCTGCAGAAAGAAGAGAAGCTGCAGAAAGAATCCGTTCTGAACACATTGATGCTTTGAAACAATCACATCGTGACACCTTTCCATTGTCTGACAACTTGATGTCACTTATTTTCTTAGTTCAGTCGGATCTCAACGAACAGCAAAGAGAAAGGTTTGTAGCCAGCATGGCCTTGCGTCAGATCAACATGAACAACTACACATACTTAGGTGTCAAAGGCTTATTCCTTGATCTCTTTTGCGGAACCGCCACAGGAACTACCGATCCTTCGATCCGCAGGCAGAGAAGATCCACTTTCCTTGTCCTCGATGAAGGAGACTTGGAGGAAGAATCCGGATACTGGGTGATGGATCAGGAAACAGGCGAAGAAGGATTTGTGAGTTTGTTCTCAGAATCCGAATTTGGGGTGTTAGCAGCCAAAGGAGGATACACCCGTAGAAGAATCCATGGAAGAAGATTCAGAAAACCATCCAAAGGCGGCAAAGGAAAAGGCCGCGGAAAAGGTAGAAGACCCGTTGAAGACCCGGCTTTGTCAGCCGTAGAGGCAAAGGTGCAGGGGCGCACTATGCAGAGTACCCTGGCAACTCAGGTTTCTATGGAAAAGGCAAGAAAGGAAAGAAAGGTGGAAAGAAAGGATTCAAAGGAAAAGATGCATTCAAAGGCAAAGGAAAAAGCAAGCAACAGAATCCCTTTCAACAATCCAATGTTGCAACCACCGAAGAGCCTTCATCAGCTCAACCAACTTCTAATGCCGAAGAAACCTGGAGTGCACATGAAGCAAATTGGTCATGGGACTCGTATGGATATCATACTGACCAGTACTATCCTGAAGATGTCTGGCAGGCAAATGAAGCCACTTGGCAACAATGGACATACTTTGCGGACGGACAGACGGACAGACCGCAAGATGAAGAGCACTGTAGCTCAGAGCAAAGGCCTGGCCAGATGAACCAGTCAGCAGACTTCCGGTATTACGGAAACCATGCAGAAGAAATGACT